TTTTTTAGTTGGAGTCTCACTCTGTTGCCCAGGCTGGAGTGCAGTGGCATTCTCATGGCCTCCCCAGCGTCGACCTGCTGGGCTCCGGCGATCCTTCTGCCTCAGTCTTTCAAGTAGCTGGAACTACAGGTGCTGCTACCAAGCCCAGTTAATTTTTAAAAAAAATTTATTGTAGAGATGAGGTCCTGCCAAGTTGCCTGGGCTTGTCTTGAACCTACAGGCTCAGGCAACCCACTCACCTCAGCCTTCCAAAGTGCTGGGGATTACAGGCTGAGCCACGGAGCCTGGCCAGGGCCATCTTTTTATCTTCACCAGAAACACACCCTTACGAGACGGAAGGCAGAGAATAAAGGAGAGAAGATATCAGTGAGGCCACCAGAGGCCTGAACCACACCCACTTAGGAGAATGAAGAACCACTGTGGGAGGCTGCCAGGTCTCATGGGGCAGAGAGGGGGCTGGAGAGACCACTGCGGTTTGTCTTCCTCCCAAAGACCCCCCTGGAAGTAGCATCTGGTTTCCCGCGACTCAGCCCTCCATGACTGAACCTGGCTGAGCAGAGGACTCGGAGCTCAGCTGCTTTCCCTCTTTGCTGGCACCAAGGAGACTTGAACAGCAGCGTGGGCAGCCCTTTCTCCTGGTCAGGCCCACTCTGTCTGTGAGCTGCAGAGCACATGGTCAGAGGGACCTGGTCATGTTGCCGTGTGCAAATGCCACCGTCACCATCTGGGCCCCCCTGTCATCTCAGCCTGCCCCAGTTCGGGAGACAGCCTGCTCTGCCTTCCTGCCCAAAGTGGTTTTGCCCCCTTCCCATCCCTGCCATCCAAGCCAGGTCATCCCGCCTTCCTCCCGGCCTCGGGGATTTGGGGCTAGAGGCTTTCCCTTCCACTGTGAAATGGGTGTCACAGAAGGTCCTTCATGAGACTTGTCATGGTGAAAGATCTCAATACCATGTCACCAAGACACTGCATCTCCATTACCCATGAACACTTCTGTGAACTTGACAGGAGTCCCAGCCTACTAAATTCTAAAATACACAGCATTGTTTGTGGCTTCCCCAGACTCTTGCCCTTTGAGTGCAGGTAACACGCCTTATTCTTTTGTCTCTCCTATTGCATAGACCCAATGTTTTGAGGCAAAATGGTGCAAGAGGGGCCGATGCCCCCCAGTCGGAGGGACCGGGAATGCATAGGAGGATGAAAGCAGAGACAGGAAAGGAGACTAGGGTAGGAGAGAAAGCAAGAGCCAGTCTCCAGTAGAGACATGAAGCTTAGGCCTCATCTGTGGAGGGGACCAGGGTCTAAAGCGGTGGTTCAGGCTGTGGTTCCTGGCGTGTGCCGATGGAACAGGGAATTCAGAGAGGGGGTGATTCGATCCCCTCACTTGGCAGCTTCAGTGGCTTGCCCAAGTGGCTGAGTCAGGTCTCCCACCCAGGGCTTAACCAAGCTCTCCACAAACCTCCATGAACCCACTCTATTTTTTGTAGAGACCAGGGTCTCACTATGTTGCCCAGGTTGACCTCAAGCAGTCCTCCTGCCTCAGCCTCCCAAGGTGCTGGAATTACAGGCATAAGCCCTCCTGCCCATGCCTGGCCCTACTCTTGTTGGGGCTGAGAGGCCAGGGCTTTGGCATTCCCTCATTTCCCTAACAACTCTCCACATGCCACCAGTCAGTGCTCCTCACTAATCCTTTCCCCCAAGCCAGCCCCAACCAGACCTCGGGAGTCCCCAGTTCTGGGAAGAGGTTTTTGTAGGCTAGCAGGGCCCTAGCAGTGCCGAGTCCAAGGCCAGCTGGCCCAGGCCTCAGGGCAGCCTGCAGGACGCTGGGGCTGCTCTAA